AAATTCAAAGCCCTAAGAGATTTAATAAGGTCTAGCATTGTCCAAGGTGAAGTGCCTAATCTCTATAAGGTGGTTGGCGATATTGCGCATAAGCGTAAAACGCGCCTCCACACCTTGGAAGAAGATCATGGCCTCAAGTTGAGCTTGCTTAATTCGAGCAAGAGCTGATGAGCCTTTTCTAATGGGTCTTCTTTAGTCAGTGTAGGAATCGAAGGAGCTTCCCTCTTAGGCACTTGAATTTCGGCCTTATGGTCAACATTTGGAAGAGCTTGTTTGGCTCATTTTGCTTCTTGCACTTCTCTTAAGTCCTTCGCACTTGGCACTTCGAACACAAGATCGAACCATGGTAAAATATCCCTATATGGCTACAAAAAAAACAAGTTAAATGATGCATGAGAAAAATGCAACACAACATAGCATAAATATATACAAATAGAGGGGAATAGGAGTTTCATCTCCACCCTTATATCTCCCACACACGATTCAAGGTCAAAGGTCTTTCTAAAACCCTAGGACATATTAGTTGGGCCCATAAACCATCATGGGGTTTTAGTTTGGGCCCAAAACCATCAGGGGTTTTGGACCAATGCCTCTCACATTTCATTGGATGAATGACACAACACTAACTTATTAAGGTAACCCTAAGGGAAGGAACTAGGGGTCATGTACAATGAGCTTTGGTCCGAGTTTAACAAGTCGTTAGGGTTCGCATAAAGCGAGAATTGGGTTGTTTTCCTTCCATTTAGCTTTGGGTGTTGTTTCCTTCCATTTAGCTTTGGGTCTAAGCCAATGGTGATAACGGATTGTGCCAATTCTTTTAATATACCAAAAGGTACTTGACTTATGGGTGGTGTATGCTAGTGGTGGATCCTAACAATCAAGTAAGTGAGAGAATCACAACTCCTAATATCACCTTTAGGGTTTAGGGTAGAAAGGAGATTAAAAAGAGATAAATCCGTGAATGACATTTATATATACATAAGTAAAACTCAATTTAAAGTTAATAATATTATTAATGATTGTGAATAACAAGACAACACTTGGAGTCAACTCCTTACATGAATCCAAAATGGAAAATCAGAGATTCTGGGTTCGATCCCCAGCAGAGTCACCAGAAACTGGAGGATCGCTTATTTTTCCATGAAAAGGAAAATAGAACAGGTTTGGTTGATTTTATTTAATAAATTGATTTTCATTATTTAACCCATTCCTTAATACTCGGAAAAAGGTTCACTTACTTTGGTAAGAGTTTTAATTTGGAGTCGCCACCTTCTTTAGGAAAAATTCTCGAATTAGTCGATTCTTTGGAATCGACATCGACTAACTTTGTTTTAAACTAGAGACTAGGCAAGGGAGTTAGGTACAATATTGGGAAGGTATTAGGCACCAAATCGCCTGGTTAAACCGGCCTCCTCGTTGTCCATTAATTCACAATGATTTAATAATAAAATTAACTAAAATTGAGATCAAAAATGGTTTTAATGCAATTTTTAAAGCAATGTCAAACATGTAAATAATCTCATACATTAGAAATAAAATTAAATCATCCATAAGAAAGGGGGGAAGAAAAGATTACAAACCATAACCTAAGAATACAATCTACCCGAACCCTATTAAAATTTTCCAACCAAACTAATTTATTACATTTAAGCAATACTAGGACCCATTATGGGTCCTTTACCTTTAGCAAACATGATACACCAAAAGTAATTAAGAACCATCCATAAAGTTTAAATATAACACATAAATAAAATTCACAGAAGCATAAATCATCCAAAGAATCATACAATCATATAACAAATGGAAATATGATGCATGTCTAGTTCACAAGTTAACATCTAATGGTTAGCATAAAAACTGTAAAGCAATAAATAAACTGCAGAAATTTAAAGGCAGAAAGTAAAGAGTGCATAAAATAAAGGACAAAAACTTAAATGCAAGAAATTTAAAGATTAAGACAAGATTAGAGTTCAAGATCTTGATGTTCATCATCTTAAATGCAGAAATTTAAAGCAATTAAGACAAGATTAAAATAAAGGACAAAAACTTAAATGCAAGAAATTTAAAGATTAAGACAAGATTAGAGTTCAAGATCTTGATGTTCATCATAAATGATGAACAAATACACCCATTACTACTCCAAATCTTATTTGTTGGTGTTTATACAATCCATTTGTAGTTAAAAACGCATTTCGGACAACTAAAGTCTGATGTTTTACCACTGGATCTCCGAATCGGGTCCATTTATAGATTATCAATGTTTTGGAACTCTGAACTGAAGTGTCTAACGCCATAAGAGAAGTGGAGTGCACCACTTGGAAAGGTCATGTGCCACACGTAGTAGCACTAGGCACTTACCCTAATCAGATGGTCACAAAAGGATACAAAGCCTCAAGAACATGTCTGTGAAGAAGTGGCGCAGGCCACTCGATTACTGTGCACGCCACACGTAGTGGCTTGCGCCACTATTGTCCTTAATGCGCCACTTCAATGTAGACAGCCATTTTTTGGTTGATCCCGGGTTTCCCTCATAACTAGGCTTAAGAATGGTGATTTAATGCCAAAATAAAAAGAAAAAGAGATGAAGAAAGAGATTAATGGCTCTCAGAAGCTACCTTGTGGAGATTTCCAAAGATTTTTGAGAGATCGGATGCAAAAAATCAAAAAGTTGGGTTCTTGAATCAAAGATTCGAGTTTGAGATCAAAATGAACGTGTTTGTGGACTTTTTTTCAATACTTAAGGGTTTTGTAATCAAAAATGAATGAATAGCAACCTAGATCAAAGTGGAAAACACAAGTTTTTCCTTTGAATTTGGTTAAGTTTTCAAAATGAAATAGTTTCCTTATTCTTTTCCAAAAGGTCCTCCTTAGCACTAATCTTAAGGCCTTTATAGGCAAATGGGTAATGTTGCCCCATTTTAAGGCTTATGTAGCAAAATGCCACTGTTGGGCCCCGAAATTGGGCCAAGCCCATTTTTACAAAGTCGGACCAAGTGGCACGCAAAATGAGGTGAGGCACTGAGAAGTGCGCCGGGCGAACCCGAAGCGCTTCTCGGGCCCGGTTTCATCGCAAAACGCCTAGTGACTGAACAAATAAAAATGGTCAAGCACGTACATTACCTCAACCATGGACCTATGGTCTGAAAACCAGAGCATCGGGAGTCCCGATCCAATCTTATGTTAAAAATTAATTATCATCACTAAACCATTAGGAGCAAAATTTGAACGTCAACAATCTACTCTAAATAATTTTTTTAGTACCCTACTACTTTCGATTTCATCATCTTCCTTGAATTATTATACATCAATAGCTTTCCCAACTCCTCCTTTGGCCGTGGTAGAGCTACGCATGCATAATCGTTGCCTCATACACTCTTGCGATGAATGAACCCATGCATTTCATTTCATTCCCAATTTGTTTTTGTCACAAACTAACAACATGGAATGCACAACATTAGTATCTTTCATATGGCTTAACACGGGACATTCTATACATGCCCCTCAATAGTTTATGACATGCCTTCCGTTTTCCATTTCTTTCGATCACACTATTCTTGAACACTTGACGATCGAAATTACCCTGTCCATTTCCAACCATTTGTGCAACTTCCACTACAAGCTTCTTTGTGCAGCTTCCTCTCTAAGATTTTTTACCACCACAAAAAACCAATATTGCCCATCTCACTTGCTATAATTACAGTATCTACCTCGCTCTACAATACGTTCTCTCATTTGAATACAATGTGTGGGGCCTTCCCATAATTTAATATTTAAATTGCTGAGACGGTTGGGAGTCCGACCCATCTAGCCATACTCTACAATATTTAGGGTTTGTTCAATAAAATTAGTTGCTTTGGTAACTGTTGACTGTTTTAGTAGCGTAACAGCCGATTGAGTAGCTTTCCATAAAACACTAAAAGTTAAATGTTATATGAGTTAATTTTGTATAAAACGCTACTTTAACCTCTAAAAGTTAATTCAAACGTTATGCTACCGAACACTATAAAAAACAACGTTTAGCGTTTCGACTAAAAGCTACTTAAAAGTTGTTCTTGAACACAATCTTAATGTTTTATCATAAATATGAACAACTGAAGCAATTAGATACAAGGAATTCGTAGGAGTCAATAAAAAATATTTTTCTGGTCAAGAAAAATGACTTCTCATTTTCAAGATAGAAAAATATTTTCTAAACATTGACAAATAACTTCATAAATGCATATTTTTTAATTTATTAATTATCTGTAGCCACGATCACTATTTACCATTCATCACCAGCCACCACCATCGGTCATCGGCGACTTTTATAATTTACCATTTTTTTGCATTTTTCTCATATTTATTAATAAATGCATATTTTTTAATTTATTAATTATCTGTAGCCACGATCACTATTTACCATTCATCACCAGCCACCACCATCGGTCATCGGCGACTTTTATAATTTACCATTTTTTTGCATTTTTCTCATATTTATTAATAAAATTTTTTAAATATGAAATTTTTATTATTATAATATTTTTATGGTTTTAGGAGTTAAAAATTTTAACATATTTTAACTAATTTTCAATATTTCAATCAAACAATGGAAATAAGTCATTTGGAAGGAAAATTTTCTAAAGGTAAATTATTTTCTGGAAATAATTAGAGTCTAAGTGAGAGGTTCATGGACTTTATATATATTTCTAACAAGTTAATACTCATTAGATATAGGATTGATAACACAAACATTTCATACTTCGATCAAAACCTCTTGATATATAATTAAAAACTATAAAAACTACATTAATTCACCTATGATCCAAACCAATTCTTATGATTTCTTTTACTATTAACTTGTCTCTCTAAATTCTTATTTTTGGTGTTAAGTCTGAGTGACTAATATAGTTGATAGATATACAAGAAAGCTATAATAATGATAAGGAAAAGCAAACCTATATATGATTATTGTTGTAATTAGTAACTAATTTGACTAAAATCAATAAATTAAAGCCGGCCGCTTATTGATGAAGAGGACCACACCCAAGCCCAAAAGCTGCGGTTTTCTCACACGAGGGACACATTGGAAAATGAAGACACAGTTGCGATGAAGTTCCAATACTTTTTAGATATTGTAATTCTTGCACTTCTTTCTTCAATCTTGTATTTTCCTCGCTTAGACTTTCGCAGCATTTTTTCAAGAACTCGCAGTCTACCTCTGTTTGCTTCAGCTTGGTCCTGCATTATTAATTCTTTAGTTAATTAGCTAACAACCAGTCTTAATTACAACTAATTACGTAACTCATTTATAAACCTGACCTTGCCCTCCTGTTTTGAAACCAAACTTCAACTTGTCTTGCTGTTAAATTCAATTGCTCAGCAAGTGCATGCTTCTGAACCTGTTATTATTAAATAAATAAATAAATAAGTGAAAAGAATATCAAAACATGATAGAAGCTCGACTCTGTATATAAATGAGATTTTAAAATTATATCGAAATGATTGTTTAACCTTAACATAATTTTAAAATACACTGGTCCTCGATAAGTTAATAATTATATAAAAGTTTTAATTAGGAGGTGGTGAGTAGGGGCTCTGTCCCTGTTGTTTTAAAATTTTCCTAAAATTATTTTATAAAATATAGAAAATTTTTTCAATTTTTTCTAGTTACGCCGCTATTTCAACTTATAATAATTAAATTTAATAAAAATAAAGAAAAAGAGAGATAAGGTAATGGGTATTTAACTGTAGAGTTGACCACATTTGTAGGTTAGAACATTTTTTGAAAAAAATATTATAATATTAATTATTAAATAATCATAAATAATATTACAATTATATTTATTTATTGATTCAACGTATACGATCGTATTAATTGTTCTTTATAACATGATGCTTCCTTATTTAGAAAAAAACAGACATATCGTCTTTAGAAAACGAAAATAAATCCAAAAATGTTAATTAGATATCATATATAAATAAATTAATCATAACATATCCAAAAAGAAAGAACAAAAAAAAAAAAAAAAAAATCATAAACATATCAAAAAGGAAAGAACAAAAAAAAAAAAAAAAAAAAAAAAAAAAACAATAACTTGTATAATTAAGATCAGTAGTCTAATGGAAGTGTAAATAGAGAAATAGTACCATGTTAGAAATTAAAACTCGATCTCAAAATTTAAATATTAAGGTTAAAAGAGCTAATAATACAAGAAAATGTGTTTTAATTTCATTTTTAGAAGTGTTTTTACAGTAGTTATAAGAATATCAATCAATCGAAAATAATATTTTTAGAGAAGAAATGTTGTCTTGATTTATAATTATTATAATTGGAATATGATTTAATACTTGTAAAGAATATGAAGACCCATCTCAAATGATCAAAGATTTTTTTTTTTTTTTTTTCGAGAAAGATTTTTTTTTTTTTTTTTTCCTTGAGACGAGATCAAATAATATTTTCATGATATGTTAAAACTGAAAATTTGTGCCAAAAAAAATATATTATGTTTCTTTCAAGAAATATGATATTACTAAAAGAAAATGAAGAAATAAATTTTATTCTCGCTAATATCAAATAAAATAAAGAAGAAATAGCAACACCCAGAACAAGAATATTCAATCCCAATTCAAAAAATAAATAAAAACAGAAAAAAATAAAAAAAACAAGAATATATAATAACAAATATAAAGTTGCATATACATACAGGATTGAGAGTGGTATGCACTTTGAAGCTGTCTTCGAGCAAAGCAGATTGGTCTTTAGTAAGCCTCAGTTTTTTTCTGCTAATACTGATATTGTCGACGTTAACAAAATCAATTCTTTTATTATTTGCATGTTCTTCATGGCCTTGACGTGCACCAATAGACTTTTCTTCTTCTTCTTCTTCTTCCTCATCCTCTTTTTCTTCTTTAGGGCAAAGGTTAAAAGACAGGTCCAAACAGAGCCCAGATTTAGTACTACTGTGCTTACAATTGTTTCTGTCTTGCCCTTTTGGTATATTGCCATTCAGGCCAAGGGTAAGACCAAGTTCTGTGTTGCAATATTCTTCTTGAGGATTTTGTCCTTCCATTTTTAATTGGTTGAAGGAGAAAAAAAGAAAGAAGAGATTAATATAACTGGCATGTTGGAAAAGAGGGGTGTTGTCTTATTATTATTATTATTAGGAGGTAAGACTTTGTATAATAATTTAATGAGTTTCAGTCAGTTATTAGTTAATAAATGCTTTAATTATTATTAATATTTTATTTATTATCTTAATTAAATTATTGCTTCTTTACATTGCTAATAAGTAAAAACAACTTCAAATATCAATGTGAGTAATAACATATGCGTTCAAACTGTGGTTCCTTCCTTTTAAAATGAAAATTGGAAAAAAAAAAAAAAAAAAAAAAAAAAAAAAAAAAAAAAAAAAAAAAAAAAAAAAAAAAAAAAAAAAAAAACAACTGTGGCTCCTAAGGAAACCACAATTTATTATTATTATTATTATAACATCTTAGACTTTCAGACTTTCCAAGTACTTCTTGCCACTTTTACCCTTTGTTTGTATGGGTGTATTTTTTTAAAAGAAAAAAAATAACTACAAAAAATACCTAGAGAAAGAATAGAAGAGAAAAATATTAAAGGAATTAATATTTTATTTATTTTTCAATCAGGCCTACAAAAAATGAAGAATACTTCATTAATCAAGCGCATAAGCATCCAATAAACGGAGGGGAATAGACTTCCCTTACAATCTGTCGCCTTGACAACGAACCTTTGATGCTCCAAACTAGATTAGTAATCTGACATGTGGGGCAGCATCCTATTTGTATGATATATAACATCCTATTTATATAATTCATAAACTCAAAGAAATCTATCTTAAATGACAATCAAGTGTAAATTTTTCAAATTATCAAATGTACGAAAGCATTTATTTAATATAATTGTAAGAAGATGAGTTATTTTATATTTTTAGATAGTATCATATATGAGAAAAAAAAAAGAAAAGAAAACTAAACTAATATTAATAAGCAAAAACTATTTTATTTGAAAATAAAAAATAAATATAAGGAAAAGAAATTTCGATAATTTTCTCTTTAAATTAAAGGAAAATAAAAAAAGTATAAAAATAAATTTGTAGAGAAAAATTAATTTTATTTTTCTTTTATATCCAAAAATAGAAGTAACATAAGTTTTTCCAAAAAAGAAATTTGGTTCCTTCTTATTTTTTTTCAAAATTTAGTTCCAAAAAATGTCAATATTCAGTGAATTGGTCATGTCTAAGTTTTTTTTTTTATTCCTTGTTCATAAATTTTTTAATTCAATAAATTTTCCCTCCCATTTAGAGTTACGCTTTAGTGTAATACCCTGAATTTTTATTTTCAATCTAAGGTAATAACCCTGAATTTTATTTTCAAAAACTCAGAATTTTTAATAAATTCAAAAATCTGAATTGTGGACGATATGGGCTTAAGTAACCGAGGATGGGCTTAAGTACCGAGCAATTTTAATCTGGGCCTAAATAGCGAGTTGGACTCAAGCCCAAAACAATTTATCGGAACACCTAGTCGAAAATAATTTAAACTTCTTAGAATTGATATCGAACGACTTAAAATAATAATAAAATTAGATTTACCACTTGGTAATCCTAAATTTGATTAAATCAATTAAATAAATCACATTAGAAAGAATAAAATGGGGTTATTCAATAAATAGTTAAGTATTGATAAATAGGAACCGTAAACTGGCTTAAAGTTTCCTGAAAACAAGAGAAAAACCAGATAATCAAACAAAAATCGAGCTAAATTGTTGAGTTGGACCAAATCGGTTCGAATCGAACCGGAATGGCCCAAAAGCCCAATTTAATGGCCCAAAAGCCCAATTTCCTTTCTTTTCCTTTTTCTTCTTTTCCTTCTTCTTCTTCTTCATTTTTCCTCTCATGCGTGACAGCCTCTCTTCTCCCTCTCCTTCGCGTTTCCGGCAACTGTTCAGCAAGATGAAGCTAGTGATCGATTCCTCTGGCGATGCTGGACACGGTTCCAACCTTCCCTCTCTCCGATCAGACCTCCAGCGACGCGAATCGAGGCCATCTCCTATGACAGTCACGCTCTTCGATCTCCGACGATTTCTCGCCATTTCTGATGGGCTCAAGGTGAACCGAAGGTCTCGATCGACTCCTCTTCTCCATATGAACATTTTCCCTCCATTAATTTGTGATTTTGCTTGCGTCTTGATGAATCAGTCTTGATGAATCACCATGGACGGCGGCTTGAAGGTGGCTATGGAGGTCGATCTGGCCAAATGAGCCACTAGCTCAACAAATTGATAGCAGATTTGGATTCCTCACGAAAATTGGAATCGGGTGGTGGTGACCTTGCAATTTTCTGGGCGGTTTAACTTTTCTAGCCACCGTGCACGACAGCGACGGAGGCGGTCCGGCGAGACTCCGGCGATGACTCCGAGAGGCAGAATGATCTTCTCTTTACGCGAATCACGAAAATAAAATTTGATTTTTGATTGGTACACTCTAAGACTCAAACCGTGATTTTCGGTATAAATCCCGAACGAATTAATTAATGAATTAATTGAGTATTTAAGTGAATTAAATTGAACATGGTTAAATATAGTTCTTGAATATTAATTATAAGATTGATATTGAAATAAGAATTCTAGCTAATAATTATATGAGGTAATTTACGGAATCTTAAGAAATATAAATAGGGGGACTTATAATTTATGGTATAAACAGGTAATTAATGATATTATAGAAATATGATTCTAGGTTAATATAAAGTAAAATTTAATTGGTATTATTATTATTTACAAATTTTAATTGGTATTGTTATAAATTATTATTATTATTATTATTATTATTATTATTAATTATTATTATGTTATCTGATCGTGCCACTCGTATTGGATAAGTTTCTCACACGCACTAAATACGGGTCTTCTGTAATCGAATGATATTTCTTAAATGATTATTATTATTTACTATTAATTAGAAGACTCTATTTTATTGAGACAAAAAAATATAATATTAGAATAAATAAATAATAGGGAAACTAAGGGAAACTATATATATAGAGAAATATACAGTTTAGTTTGATATGTGAGCAAAGCGAGTAGTAACCAAAACTAATAATTAAGGTAAAAATACGTTTCTCGAATTAGACCTCTAATGTAGAATTTTATTATTATGTTAGATGTTTATAAAGTCCCAAAAGATGAAGACAAATGCTGGAAGCGTGCAGTGATAAAGATAGTTCTTTAAAGGACAATAAAAAACTGTGAGTAGTGTTAGATAACTAGTATCATCAGCCTGCATTCATGCATTCACGGCTAAATGTTATCATGCATTCTTTTGTTGAATTGCCACATTAAGATGCACTATTTGTTGCTATTAAAAATTGTTTGATTACTTGTGCTATGAATATACTATGCCTTGTTTGTGTGGAATTGGGATGAAGTGGACTGTGATATTGCTGTGCCTTATTTGTGTGGAATTGGGATGAAGTGGGTCACGATGGGTTTGTGAGACTGATTCTGTTATATGGATCCTGATTCTGATTCTGTTATATGGATCCTGATTTTGATTTCTGTTAGCTGGGTAAATGGGAGATTGGCGCCCCCGTGTGTACCTACTGTTCTGATCTGTATGTTCTGGAAAACCACAGGATGGCTTCTTGTTGTTGGCACCTGATAATCCAGATTTGATTGTAGCCCGCAAGGGTGGCCTCCTATTGTGAGCACTTGATGATCGAGATTGGATGGAGACCACCGGGTTGCCTCCTGTTGGTATATATATATATATATATAGAAAAATAGAGAAATGGAAAAACAATGCGCAGGACTGGTCATGTGAGGATGAGACCAGTTGGGCCGTATGTGGGGAACGGCTCCCTTATGCACATGTACGAGAAGGCGAGCCATATGTGAGGACTGACTCGTTGGGTTTTCAGGTGGTGCACTAACTAAATTTTCCACGTGAATGTGATTATTATGAAGGTGATAAACTTTGGATTGGCCTGTTGTATGCCATTTGTGTGAACAAACTACATGATCATCTAATTAAACGGTAAACCAGATAAAGAATATTTTTAGCATCTGTGTGATTTGTTAGATGGGGTGAGAGGGTTAATCTAACCCTACTCATTGAGTTTGGGCGCTCACCCCTGCCTACTATTTTTTTTTCCAGGTAATAGAAAAAAGGAAAGCCCTAAATGGATGAGACACTTATTGTAGAAAGACTGTTTAATGATGAGAAATAACGATGTAAATATAAAAGTTAGAGTTACGCAATTGGTAAATTCCAGTTGGATCGTAAATAGATAATAAAAAGTCTCCATATTAAATATATGAACTATATTTTGGATGCATATGTATAATAAGTTAATGGGTCTGAATCCATAATTATGAATAGAATGTGAGATTTAAATAAGTGAGGCTTACTACGGGCTTCGGGGGCTTAAGCCCACCCAGGTCCTAGTGTTGGTCCGGCCCACAGAAATGGGTCGTGACATTTAGCAAAAATTAATCATTGAATGAATTGGCTTCTAATCTCAACTCTTTACTCTCTATGTTTTCTTTCCTCTATTAATTTTATTTTTCTTTTATATAAAAAAAATAAGTAACATAAATTTTTTCCGAAAAAAAATTTAATTCCTTCTTGTTTTTTTTTCTAATCATTCATTAATAAAAAGAGACAAAAACAAATTTAAAAAAAAAAAAAAACGCTTCATTTTTTCTTGGTAATAAAAAAAAATCTTGGTTGATTAGCTTGGTGTATGGAGTAGTCCCATATATCAGAAGTTAAGTTACACAGACACAGAACACGAGATACGGGAACATACGCCATAAGATAATTTTTTAAAAAGTAGGACATTCATACGCTTAGGACATACTATACTAAATAAGTATAATACATTAATATTTCAAATAAATAAATAATAATTTATAATAAAATATTTCAAAATAAAATAAATAATAATTTATAATAAATCCATTAATTTATAATAAATCATAAACATAAAATAAAAAAATACCTAATTTCTTATTTCAATATAATTAGTTAAATTTTCAAAATTA